AGATAAATTGGGATATACACTAATGTATATATTCTCGCTAAATGATAACAATGTAACTTTCAAAAAACTCTTCTACAAAAAGCGGAAGTAGAAATCTTCCCAAACGGGATCAAAAAATTCAAAATGCATTTCTTCCATTAACTTCTATAAAGGCCCTCGTTTGTTTCCCATTATTTGCCCATTAAAATCCGTTATCATCACATCAAGCCACCATATTTGACTTTCTATCTCTTGTGTGGGGCCTATAACGACTATATTTTTCATTCTCATTTTTATATTAATGTGTACCAAACGGGGCCTAGGTGATTCTTCTTTTGTGAAGTACTGAAACTTTTGCAAGTCCCCTAAGTGACTGAGAGAAGAAATAGGCAGTGCTGCCCTGACTATATGAGAGGTAAACGATCGACTGAGGCCCCACTTTGGTTAGGGCCCAAAAAAATTTATTTGTTTTTTATTTTACATGTATTTTTAGATATATATATATATATATATATATATATATATATATATATATGGTCTCATATTTGAAATTGGTCTAAGGCCCCCAAAATCTCAAGGCCGGCCCTGGAAATAGGAAGGAAAAATTGCAGTAGCATTCCCAAATCTTTAGATTTTTTGCTAACTTTAAATTAACCTTCAATTTATTCCATCAACAATCCCAAAACTTTGAAAACTAAGCACTTAAAGTCCAAAATAATGGAAATCATTAGTTCCATCGTTAGTCGACCTAGAGAATGGAAAAATCGAATACTTTAACAAATTTAAACAGAGCCAATTTCGTCAATTACACATTAATATTTAAAATAATTAAATTAAACCCCTACACCAACCCACCCCACCCCCTCAAATCCTTCACCTTCTTTGACATACCACTTCCACACCTCCAATTAGCTTTCAGAGAGCAAAAACCACCGCACAACTATCACTTCCACCACCATCCCTTCCTTTATACCATTTTGTTTCTAGGTTTTCTTTGAATTTCCTTTTGGTTGCATATGATAGTTAAATCTTGGTAAATAATTATGAGAAACAATTTTTGAATTAAATGGAGTTAATATTTGATTTATGAACATTGTTAATTGTGAAAGCAGGTATAGCTTTGTATGGTGAAAAAAAAAGAGTGGTACTTCTTTTCTCCAAGGGACTGGAAGTACCCAAATGGTAATTGCCAAAAATGATGGAACCTGAAAGAGGTGAATTTTCTAACGAGTTCCGTGGATCATCAAATTAAGCCTGAAAGATTTTTGATGGTATTGGACTTCTCTCCCAAAAGCTAGCTCAAGAGGTGAAACTTTTCCTCACACTTATAAATTGAATACCAATCTCATCCACAATCGACGTGGGACAACTCAACAAAAGAGATGAAATTTCAAGCGATTATGATGGTTTATCAAATTAATGGCAATTTTGAGATACAAAGATCCATTGAAAATGATTTGGAACATAATATGGTACAAGCATCCAGCCCTTCCTCCATCGTTGTGGTGTTGCATCTTCAACTTTTTGAGAGGTGGATTTTGTCTATTTGAGAAATGGGTTTTGTCTTCAACTTTTTGCGTATTTTGAGAATGAAGGTAGAGGTGAAGCCAATCAACTTTGGCAGACTTCTGGGAGTTGCTGTGGCGGTGGTGTGAGTTGGTGGTGGTGGTCAGATGGTTTTTAGGTTTTGATGGGATGGTGTGAGGTGGGGTAAGGAAGAAGGTGTGTTTATACATACATATATTTTTTGGTTTTTAAATTTATTTAACGTGAGAAAAATACAAAGGCTCATTTTGTCCCTTTAATTTGGTCAAAATTAATTAAATTTTGATTTTTTTATCAACTAACTGAAATAGACGGTTTCCATCCTTGTGGATTCCATATGCGAATTTTTGAAAGATTTGAAATTGTGATTAGCACAAGTAAATATTGAATAAAGTCTGCCAAAAAGTGAAATATTAGAGATCGCTAGTGCAATTATCTCAAGTAAAGATCAAATAAACAAATATTTATGGCAAATCAATGTGTTTTTCAATAATTTAGGCCATCTCTAAAAGAAACACCAAAACATCAAAATGAACCAAAAAATGGTGCACAATGTATCCAATGTAGCACCAAACTTTACACTATTTTTGCACCAAACGGTGCAAAGTTAGTTTTACCTTTGTTTTCATTGTCCAAACAAATTGATTAAGAGTAATTGTGTCATTTATGTTATATACTTTTTTAATGGGTTAACTTCATAAACGGTCACTGAACTTACCAAAAAATTACAAAACGGTCATTGAATTTGAAACTTTCAGTAACGATCACCGAAGTTATATTTTCTTTCAAAAACGGTCACTGAAAGACCGTTATGCTTTTTATTCAAACTTGAAGGACCAAAACAAGTTAAAATCAAACCTTAAGGACCAAACCACTCTTTATGCAAAAAAAATTTAATGACTCCTTCCAGGTCCATCTTCGCCGCTAACGGATTCAAGGCCAAAATCGACCACCCTATCATCGGATAAACCGCTGGATTTTTACACCACAAACACTTCATCATCTCCCTCCACAATCTTATGGCAACAAATAGCCTCAAACAATTAAAAATCAAAAGAATTTCCGGTTCAAAAAATCATTCCCAAGCACGATTTTACCTCCGATTTCGGCCAACCCACCATCACCCATACCAAAACTCCATCACAGGCTGTTAGTACTCTTCAAGACGAGTAGGTTCATGGTCCCATATCATCGCAAAACAATTTAAATCAAAATCTAAATAATACCAGTTTGAAGGCAGTAACAACGAACTTTCCTCCACAATTTCCGGCCCCGGCATCATTAATTATGGTAGCACACCACCACCATTACCTTAGACTCATCGTAGCAAACAAGATGCACATATGGGTCTTCACCAATTTACACCACCAGTTTGCCAATTTCTAGATTTTTCGCACCATGTCCGCTTGCAAGAAAATGAATTTCATCCATCAATTGAGGCTCCAATGCAACCCAATATACAAATCAACTTGGGGAAACTGACATTCAGATTCAAAAGACACTGGATAACCACTCAATTGCAGAAATTACAGCTCTGATATACCAAATTTTGGAATCAAACGTCATTGGGTTTGAAGGTTTTTTGGTCGAAAATTTGCACCTGAGTTCCTCAATATTCTTTGGTCACGTGTTATGGTCCTTAAGTTTGAAGTAGAATCATTTTGGTAACTTTATTGACCATTTGTGCAAGTTTTTAAACTTAAGTGACCATTAGTGTAATCACCTGGAAATTCAGTGACCGTTACTAAAAGTTTTAAATTTCAGTAACCGTTTTGTAATTTTTTGTTAAGTTCAGTGACCGTTTCTGAAATTAACCCATTTTTTAATACAATAAATTGTTATTATTATTATAATTATTATACTTCAACGTAATTATTATTGTTAATTATTTAACATAATCTAACGTAATTATTTCTTCATTATTATAATTTAATGTAATTATTTTTTTTAATTATTTAACCCAATTTTGATTGTTGTTAATTTAATGTAATTATTTATTCAGTAATTTATATAAGCTATGTTTGAGCCACATTTTTTTTTCAAAAAAATACATTCTTATACAGTGATTTGATATTATTTTAAGCACATATTTTTCAATAAAATAATATTACACACAAATTCAAAACTTTTATTTATCTTTTAACCACACATTTTTCACCAATACGCTATTCAAAAATGTGTTCTTAGGAATTATAATGTAGCTCAAACAAGGGCATAACTGTAAAACAAGTAAATAAATAATTTTTCAAATAAATAAATTGTTAAGAATAAAAAAATGAGGAAAATTATTAAATACTGTTCATTTGGTGTGAATTTCGTTGTAATGGTTGGTAATAATTTTTAATTTGGAGCAAGATTAGGTATAGAATAGTGCAAATTTTACTTCAAAATTTTGGTGTAGGGTTGAAAATAGTCTTAAAATCTAATTTTTGACATGTACAATATTTGTATACATACACATAATGCTTTCTTGAAATTGAGGCAACTCGAAGTCCTTCATTATATTTTGAAGAGGGTATAAAGGGCAAAGAAAACGGTTGTTAGAATATTACGTGCAGAGTGAATTCAGCTGGCAGTACCAAATCCGACCTTTCACATTTATTCGTGACTCGTCTCATTTGTATGTTTGTTCAAGACGAGAGCTAACGTGGGCCTAATATTTTATTGTTTTATTTTTACTTAAAATTTGATTCGTTTATTCATTATGGCACATGAGAGCTGACTTGCAAGGGTTTATTCATCTCGGATGGCTAATCCCAGGGGTCCAATTTTGAAGGTTTTGTGAGCCATGATGCCTAAAACAATTAGGCCCCGTTTGATTGCGAAGGAGGAAAAGGAAAAGGAATTCCATCTAAATTGGAAAAAAAAAAAAATCACCATACCCATAAGAATTCGTTTTCCATGGAATTGACCAAAAATGCGCTTTAAATGGTTGTACATAAGAATTCGAATTTCATTTCCACATGCGAATCAAATAGTCAAAGTGAAAATTGTTTTCCTTGCATGTGATATTTTTCATGGAAAATGTTGCAATCAAACAGGGCTTTAGATTCAATTTGATACAGCTAAGATCGAATTTGGAATCACCCATATTAATATAATTAAGTCTTTATTTGGTGGGGATTGAAATTAAGGGGGTGTTTGATAGGTATTTTTATGTAAAAATGCATTTTAGAATAGTAAATTGATGTGAAATGTATGGTTGAGAAATAAGGAAAAAATTTTGATAACGCGTAATATTATTTTAATAAAGAATGTGTGATTGAAAAATAGAGAGAAAAATGCATTTTGAAAAAAATGGCTACCGAATGGGTTCTAAATTTTTAATATATTTTGATAAAAAAAAATTTTAAATGTGTGGTTGAAAATTGTGGATTCATAAAAAAAATTGATTATTATTAATTATTTGACTTTGAATTTGATTTAAATTAACAATATCTTAATTAAGGCTTCACTAGAACAAAAGAAAGAATTAAGTGCAGAAAAGAATATGATATTATACACGGACTGATTCTGCTCAACTCGTCTTCGCTCATCAACTTTGCCAAATTCGGACTCTCCGTCCAGCCTACTCCTCCATCTTGTAACCGTAAGAGCGTGTGTTCAACGAGGAGGGAGAGAATTTAAAGGAAAAAAAATGGTGCGTAAGCGATTGCTGCTGCTGTTAAAGCCATTCGATGTGTACCCATCTCATGAATCCATCGCCTGCTCCGCCTTCTCCTCCAACTGCAATAAGGTAACGCTTCCTTGACGTTACTTTAATGCAGGACAAAAGGAGGCCATTCACAAAACCCACTAGCTTTCTTCAACGATTATTGCATTCTTAAGATTAAAAGCCCACTTGTGTATAGTCTATCATGTGTTCGATAATATTTCAAGATCATTGTTGGGGGAAAGTAAACGCTGCATATTTCAAAACAGTGTTTAACGTTACTATGTATTGATTGTATTGTGTGAATGATAATTGGGAAAGGAACATAGGTTGGGGTAGCATTTAAGTTAAATACGATTAAATTGAGACTGTTCTTACTTTAGATTGGCAATGCTATGATTTGCTGCTTAAGTTTTTATTTTCTACACTGTGAATGATATTTGCATTGCGGCTGCTGATGAACAATGTGGGCATAAAGGAAAATTAATTTGATTAAGCAAATGCGGAGAAATCAATTTGATATCAATTGTGGTTTCATCAAAGTGAATCTAGTTGAGTGATCCTCTTGACTGGATTTTATTTATGGATATAATGACACATCATACTTACTTATGAAGATCACTTCTAGTGGGAAAAAATGGTGTATATTTTATCCTCTATGATGAGCTAAAGAAATCTAACTGTGCCTCTACTGATCATCCTATTGATAGGCGTGTGAGAAGAAACGTGATTACAGGCTTTATGATTGTCCGAAATTAGAAAATACATGAAAAACATGAATGGATTATATATCCAAATCTTATAAATAAAACTAAAATATCGATTTAATTAACAATTGCTATATCCATTCCTTCTCATTCAAGGTCTACTACTTTATGTATAGTTCTTGAGTTAAGAGTTTCTCTTAGAGATGATAAACCGATTTGTTAAAGTTACCCCTTTAATTCGCACACTTGCTTTCCCAGAACATATAATTTTATGACCAGTTTCTCCTAGTGGCATTGTGATTCATTAAAGATATAGTGGTAAGTTGCTGACCCAACAAAAAATTAAATGTTCCTGCAGGTATGTGCATTTGAACATGATTTCCACCTTTGTTTGTTGAGGGTCGCGCTCCACTGCAGGCACTGAATGAATGAAATGAGTGGAGATCTTCCTTCCTCCTTGTTAATTACCAAGAACTTCATTGCCGCTAGTTGCTTGTAGCAGAGATAGAACATATATACCATAAAGTATTTTTTTGTTGAATAACATCTAATTGGTCGCGATTTGAACATGATTTAGTTACACTTGTGTGGCTTGAAACTTCATGAAGACCCTTGGGGAGTGATGTGATTTTAAGATTTCAGAAAAGTACTCACTTTATTTGTTTGGCTGCTACAATTTATCTGAGGGTTTTGTGATCCCTTGTTTTCCCAGACAACACTTTTTTGAAAGCTTTAATGTATTGATGGTACACTATCATTCTGATTGCACTTTTACTCTTACATCTACAATAATATACCTTATGATTCTTATTTTTTTTCCATTTATCTTCCACCCCCTAGGACTTGTAGCTATTAATAGGTATTAAAAGAAAATGGACCGAGTCTCATGGTCCAACCAATGGTAATCACCCGTCTACTTCAAAACTTATGCTTCCCCATGTGGCTTCCTGCCATTTGTTCAAAATTAACATTCACTTGATACACTTTTTCTTCTCCTGAAGATGTTGAAGGTATTGCGATATCTAGATGACAGGAGGTTGGTTCACAAAAATGCAATAAGCTTCTGTCAGAATATTTTGAAGAAAAAAGCTGTTGACTGGAAAACTGTTTTCCGGAATGATCTTTCTCAGTCAATCCGTGGTGTTGATCTGGTCATTTCAGTCGGAGGTGATGGCACACTGCTACGGGCAAGCCATTTCATGGATGATTCTGTTCCAGTTCTAGGAGTGAATTCTGATCCCACCCAACAGGAAGAGGTCAGCTCATTTCTTGGATTTCTGTGTTTATTTTGAGTTTAGAGTGCAGCTTCTGGTACTAAAAAATATAGAAATTCTTTTTTAGCTTCCCTTTGCCAAAGAAATTTGTCTAATTTACGTAGGTGGAAGAATTCTGTGAAGAATTTGATGCTACAAGGAGCACTGGTTATCTTTGTGCAGCAACAACCAACAACTTTGAACGAGTGAGACTACTACTTTAGCCATCACTTTTTCGTAGATAAGCATGTGATCTTTCCAACTCCTATTTAGTCTTTGATTTTGCTAGAAAAACTGGCAGCATATGTTGTCCATGGATATGTTTATTTCCTGGAGAACTTCTAGTGTTCCAAATATATGAGATTCAGATTTGCAGCCTTCATTAAATGGATAAATTAACTTTGTCTATTTCAGCAAAAACACAAGTAATTGGAGCAATGAAGCTGGAAATTTCAAAATATTTTTGGAACTTAGCTATTCATCAGAAGTTAAGGACCTTATTGTCATCAACTACTTGCTTTTGACATCGAAATGTTATACATACTTCTGATACTTCTTAAAAACATGCTGCACTTGTACGTTTCAGATCATTGGGAGGGATCCTTGAAATTTGATAATTTTTACCCAAGTTAATTTGCCTAAAGTCAAATGTTACCTTTGTACAAGAGTCTGACTAGCAGCAAATCTAGGATGTACCTATACCGCATCTACTACTTCGTACAGATATCCATTTGAATATGGTGGAAGTGTAGACTTGTCAACTATGTTGAATAATTTTATGGACAATAACATGTTACGAAGGTGGAGAAATTAAATAAAATACTACACCTGTCTTTCAACAACTTTGAAAGGTGATAATAAACATCTTTTGCGTTGGGTTCCTGTGATTTATTGAAATTATTTTTGAATCAACCTACGGGCTTATTAGATTCGACATTTTCATTCCCAAGTTACAGTTATCCATATATTTTAAGTACTTTCCACTCTCTATCTATCCTCTATTTTGTTGAATGATAGATAAATAGAAGGAACCATAAGAGAAACATAGAATGAGACCTCTCTATCTGAAGTCAGTTAAATGTTACTTCCTTTGGGATATAGATTGTCATTGATTACACAGAAAACACGACGCCGACTGACTATGTTACTTGTCGTAAACATTAATTTTTCTAATAACTTGCAATCATGTCAAGAGAAGAATGTCTAATATTTATATCACTTCTCGATCCACATTAACTCAATTTAGAATGAGTAAATAAGGCAGCCACAATCTAGGACCACCTAAACACTGACTCTCTTTGGGCAGGCCTAACTAAACAAATTTTCCGGATAGGGTGCAAACTGATTATTCATGAAGTTTCTTCTGCACATTTCAGTTTTTTAGCTAGCACAATAAATCATGCAGCCATGCATAACAAGGAACTTCCTTTTATTGTCATTCCTGTTAACTCCTGTGATGCATAGCCCATTGATATAAGCTTCTTTTTGTAGCTATTAGATGACATCCTTGAGAATCGCAGTGAACCTTCTGAAGTATCTAGGATGGCTATTAGTGTCAACTCAAAGCTGATTTCAACTTTTGCTCTAAATGACATTCTAGTCGCACATCCATGTCCTGCAACAGTTTCTCGATTCTCATTCAGGTAAGGAGATATGCTTTACAACATCAAGAATGGTGTACAATGTACTGCTCTAGTGTATCACCTCAACCTTACATAGTCTCGGTTGATATTCTTGTGTAATTACTTATTAGGATCAGGAAAGATGGAGCATCTCGAACTTCTTTACTAAATTGTAAATCAAGTGGGTTAAGGGTCTCGACAGCTGCTGGATCAACAGCTGCAATGCTCTCAGCAGGTGGATTTACGATGCCCATCTTGTCCAAGGAACTCCAATACATGGTAAGGGAGCCCATTTCTCCAGGGACTAGTGCTCATTCGATGCACGGACTTGTGAAATTTGAAGAGACAATGGATATTACTTGGTTTGGTAGAGAGGGAAACATATATATTGATGGTTCCCATGTTGTTCATTCGATTCAACATGGAGATACGATTGGACTCTCTTCCAAGGCTCCAACGTTAAAAGTGTATTTGCCTAGCCACTCGTTATGACAATCTGTACATATCATGTGTATTCATTAACTCACTTTACCTCGAGATTTGGGTGTTGTTCTTTTATTACATAATTAGATTATACATTTCAATTTTAACTACTGGTTGGTGTGTGTGTGTGTATATATATCATTTAATGAGTCATTCATTAACTCACTTTACCTCGAGATTTAGGTGTTGTTCTTTTATTATTACATAATTAGATTATACATTTCAATTTTAACTACTGATTGGTGTGTGTATATATATGTGTGCATTGTTCATTATACAAATTTTGTCGTTATCCTTAAAAAGGTGCTAAACAATAAATTATTCACCAACCATGCTACGATTTAAAAGCCAGTCGATATGTGTTATCAAAACCATGTTCCAAAATATTCACATTAAAACTCTACATAATGGGCATATTCATCTTGAAAACCATAATCAAGTCTCGTTCTCTAATTTTATGATATCAACCAAAAACTTAAAAAAAAAAAAAAAAAAAAAAAAAAAAAAAATCGTATTTAAAAATTTCAACCATTCGTTTTATTTTTGCCCCTGTTTGATCCCCATTAAATTAAATTACATTACATCCCATTTTTCTCTCTCCTATTTTCAATCACATAATCTTCCATAAAATAATATTACATGTAAATCGAAAACTTTTCCTTCTTTTTCAATCACTCATTTTTCTAAAAAATACTATTCTCCCCATTTTCATTTTCAGATAATGGGCATTAAACAGGGGCTTTAACTTTTTAAAATTTTCTTAATATCTATTTTTAGTTTTAGTTTTGTGTAAACGTGATAAGTAATATTTAATAAATAAGTGACTTAAAATGAATTTATGAAATCAATGAAACGTGATATTTACACTTACTTTTTCCTTAAAAGTTAAAGCCCTGTTTGGCCCCCATTTCTGTAATGAAAATGTGTGGAATAATTTTTTTTTTTTTTTAAATGAGTGATTGAAAAGAAATGAAATTTTTTTGATTTACGTCTATTATTATTTTATGGAAGATTGTGTGGTTTAAAATAGGAGAGAGAAAAATAGAATATAATGTAATTTAGTGATTGTTTGGTACAGATTTTAAGCAAATTAAAATCAATTTTTTTATCGTTATTTTACTATTTCAACCGTCATTTTTTAATTCTTTTCTCGCAAGTAGGGCTCACTTTATCTCTAAATGTCAAAAAATCAATTATTAAAATTTCTGCCAAACAAGCTCTTAATGAGGGCCAAACGGGGCTTAAATCTCATTTCTGTAATTCAAATTATTCAATGGGGATTTTAAATTATTTACAAAAGATGATAATTTGAATTCAAAATGACAATTAATTGATTTAATTAAATTACTCCTCATCAAATTATGCCCTATGTTATTATTTGCTCATCCAATCAAAAATGGTTCATCGTTGCTCACCTATTTATTCACGTGTTTATTCATTCATCACTCCTTTGAAATTCGTTAATTAACGAAAATTTTCATGCTTGAGAAAGAAATTTGATTTGGAACATTAATTACTTTAATTCACAGTTAATGATTACAGTAGTCATCCTATGTCATATATGATGAATACTTTAATCGCTCACCATAAATAGTATTACTCTCGAATGAAAGGTGTGTTTTTTATCAATCATGTTATACATCCACACTCAAATCTAGTCTCAAATTCAGATGGAACACATGTCGATATATGATTGAATAATTTCGAAAATTAAAATATTCAATCATTTTCTGATACATCAATTTGTCTTTTTACTCCCTATTGTTTAATCAGGTTAAGTGAGTGTATAAGTAATTACATAGGATTTAATTTTGACGAGCAGCGATTTAATTAATTCATAATTAATTGCATGCCAACTCCTTATCAAGTTTCCTTGGCCAAGTAGGTTTCTTCTATGTTCTCAAGTCTCTCAACATTATACAACAATCAAATTCCAAAATTCATTTCTCAAATTAAGCAATAACCTAAAAACCCTAATGTCGAATGATGGGTTGATTACGGAGGATGCACTGAAGAGCTCTTTGATGGACGCTAAAATTCTCTACCCCAAATTCGAAATCGACGACTTTGAGACAAAAGTTTGCTCTCCGAGGGTAACTTTAAACAAGGCTCTTTCTCTTCTATAATATATTTTTTAATTTTGTTTTTTTTGTTTGACAAGTTTATTTCTTATTGATGGAATAAATGGATTGTGATTTTAAGTCGTAGCGATTGAGTTGGTTTATTGGATATATTGATACATGAAGATTAGAGCTTTTCTTTGCCCTTAACATTTCATATATTTGTGATAAAATACGATTTGATTAGTTGAATGTTTAATGCTAACTGGTTGTTTTGAATTTCATGGTGACTTTTGCTTGTGAGCATATTATATAGGGAGTGAATGAAGTTTTAGACCATCGCTGAAGAGTTTCAATTGATGAAAATGCGTTGGGTGAATTGCAGTAAAAAAAACGTGCTTGTTATTTGAACAATAGGGAATTGCCCATCAGAATATGGAACTGGGAAACAGAAAAGTACTTCATCGTAGGCTACTTAATGCATAACAGACTGACGTTTGACCTCAAGGCAGTTTGATCACTATAATAAGAATTTGATTTTCAAGAAGTTGAAGTTAGTACAACGTCAAAAGTAGGGGGATTTGTAGTAGTAAATATAAACATCAAAATTAAATATAAGCGAGGATGTGTAAATCTATGCATCTATAGTAGTCATTTCAAATTTTTTCTCTCCTAAGATGTGTTCTGACGCATAACGCATTATAATTAGCATAGTAATATTCTCACCCTCAGAGAGTGATTTCTAATTGATTCATCATCTGTGCGAAGAAAATGGAATGGTGCTGCACTGCTGAGGTTTTCAATTAATATTAAATTCCCAGTTATTGATATTCAGGTCTATGAAGGTGTTGATGAGCGCGTGAGAGACTGTAGCATAGAAGCATTAGAGAATTTTAAGCTCAAAGAGGATACATTTAGTAGAGATGAAGAAATGACTGGGGCTGCTGTGGACGATGAGGTGCAAAGAGATTTAGCTGCTGGAAATAAAAACCTTAGAAAATATTTTTACTATGACACACCACTTTCTGAGGATACAGGCATTTGGATACCTGTCTCCGTTCCGCCAATGCTGGAAACTGAAAGAACAGAATGGAATAAGGATCTCTATTTCAACGGGGGTTACTTGCCTGATGGCGACATGGGTTGGAGTGAATGCATTGGAGAAGATAAGGAGATGACTATGTGGGATGTGGTTCTTGACATTTTACTGGCAGCCAGAGGAAAAATTAGTGCTCTCTCATCTGGTGACATTCATGGATATAGTTTCTCCTGGATGCAATCCCATCTGCTAGAGGAAGCTTGGAAAGAGATGGCTCAAACTCTTACAGATGCTAACTTTGGTAAAATGAAGGAAATACTCGAATCTGAACCGCCAAAATGGTTGCCTGACAGTTCTGCTTCTGCTTGCATGCTGTGTAATGTGCGTTTTCATCCTATCATGTGTTCTAGGCACCATTGCAGATTTTGTGGCGGGATTTTCTGCAGTGGATGCTCAAGGGGAAGGAGTTTGTTGCCTGTACAATTCAGAACTGAAGACCCTCAACGAGTCTGTGATGTATGCTGTGTGCGGCTTGAGTCTGTTCAGTCATGCTTAATGGACCGAGTAAGTCGTGCTGCACAGTTACCAACTCATGATCTGACGGACCTAAGTACAATGAGATCATGGTTGAATTTTCCATGGGGCCAGTCTATGGAATATGAAATATACAAGGCAGCAAACACCATTCGAGGTTATAATAAGGTATGCATTTCCCCTCCTTAATCTAGCGAGCTAATGATTTGTTTTCACCGTAAATTACTCATTTATTTAGAATGATTGCATTGCCTATCCTTCTTTTGAAACATAAAACTATCAGGCTTATGAACCAAAAAAAATATCAAAGGGAACTTCTGCACTGCTTTATGCATATTGTTGTATAGTATCTTAAATCCAATCTAAGGCATCGATACATTATGCAATTGAGAAAACTGTACAGATGCAGATGCTATTCAAGGACAATTAGCTGATTCTAGATTTATGAATTATTATAGACAATTCATTGGTAGGATGGAAAGAATTAGGAGGGTTTTGCTTTCATTCATTGTTAGATGAGATTTTTCTATCTTTATCTCACACTTAGACAGGAAATTGGCAACCCAATGAAAGCCTTTTCAATTTTCCCCACTCCTCTCTCGATCTCTTTTTCTCATGATCTTTTATCATTTTTTATTTTTTATTTTTTTATTTTTAACTTCACAAGAGCTGGTTCTTAGTTCCAAAGATAGGGTACTCTCTTGTCATTGATGCTCTAGAGAGATCTTCCAGTAGAAATGGTGAAGACTGATGTTGGAGACCAAGAAAAGACAAAGAAAAAGGCAAGTGAATATGGTCATTTGTTCAATGGGAAAAATTGAAAAATTATAGCAGTTTTAGGTACACAGGAATTTTGTCAATCATAAAATTCATAATTGAAGCAAAGATGATTTGGTAAATTGGAGCAGAAAGGCATGGTAGCTCTGATTCACTTGTCTTCTGTTTCAGAGGATGGGGTGAATTGAAGTTGAGGGAAATTAAGTTACTCAATCTGTGGATTGTAGATATCAGCTACCTAAATAAAACTGTGTTTCACCTGATTTTCAGCATGCAATTAGCAACTGTTATACCTGACTTTGAAGCTACAACACGTAATTAATATGCATTATTTCATATTTATATCGCCCGCATTTCAAGAATTCTTATTTGTTGAGTTACAGTGTTGAAGCCCCTTTTGAATCCATTCTATACTTTCAAATGATCTTCAAGAGTTTCAATTTGCAAATAGAGTCTGCTTATAGATAAGAACTCACGGGGTCATTATTGTCAGGTTGGATCTCTGAAACCTGAGAAGTCCATACCACATGCAATCCTCAAGGATGCTAAGGGCCTTGCTATTCTAACTGTTGCAAAGGTTGGCATGATGATTACTTACAACATTGGGACAGGGTTAGTTGTTGCTCGTAGAGAAGATGGATCTTGGTCTCCACCATCTGCCATTGCATCCTTTGGTTTGGGTTGGGGAGCACAGGTG